AACCAACTTTGTCAAATATGCAGATGATCAATCAAACCTGCGAAAAACACTACATCGGCCAAAGTGGACGTCCCCTTCGTCTTCGCATCCACGAACATAAGCTAGCCGTCAAAAGACATGATATCCACTCCCTCATTTCACTACACACAGACAACTACGGACATCAATTCGACTGGGACAACGTTCAAATATTAGACAAAGGAAATAACAAGAATGCTAGAGAATTTTTAGAAGCTTGGCATTCCAGTGGATCATCAATCAATAGACACATCGAGATAGACAAAATTTATCAACCAATAAGAAAGAAACTTCACAGACAAAGGGTCAAAATTCAAGTCAAAGAAACAACCGGTTCCAATACAAGTAACCTAGAAGGTGTGAAAACACACACAAACAACCAATCACGTCCAAGGTCACCAGGAGAGATGATTAATAAACTCGTGGAGAAATCTCAAAGCTCACTTCAAATTGAAGTATGCGCTGAAGATGTCACCCAGTAGGGTGATGAAAGCTTCGCAAACTAACCATCCAGCTCAGAGAACAAAACCACATCAAAATCATCTACCTGAGCTACAAATCTTCTCTATAATATCTAAATCTAATCTTTACAAATCAACTATAGAAGAGTAAACACAACAACAATTTGACATTAGTCATTACAAATATATGTGAGGACAGCTTACATATTTCTATTGGTAAAAAATGTCCATAGACAAATGACCTTCAAATAAACTGACTTGATTTTATGTAAACATTTTTGACTATATATTTTGATGAATATTTATAATCCGAATAAACCTGCTGTAGGAGCTGTGGCTTACACGGCGACACGTTCAGAAAAATCTTGTTTTTATTTTCTTAACACGCTGGGATTAATTTAAATGATTTATAATGAATCAATCTGACTCGGCGCTCAAATTATTCCAGGAAATTCGCAACACCTACGGTCTGGAAACCTATAATCTTATTCAACAGCTATACAACGAGTGCACATGTCAAGTCATCCACAACGGAAAACTCACCAAGGCGTTTGGAATAAACACAGGAGTCAGACAAGGTTTATTATTATCACCAATGATATTCCTAATTGAGGTGGACTGGATTATGCGTCAGAAAGTGTGAAACGAGAAGGCAGGGATATCCTGGACCGACCGACGTGAAGAACCTAGAAGACCTGGATTTCGCGCGTGGATGATTTATGTTTGATGTCACACACAATCGAAGACTTACAAGCGAAAACCGACAAACTGGTCGAAGAAGCAGCAAAGACAGGACTCCAGGTAAACATAGACAAGACGGAGGTAATGAAAATAACCAACCAACAACAACAGCAGCATCAGCAACATCCAACGACAATCACCATCAACGAGAGGGATTTGAAAGAGGTGACTTCATTCACTTCACTTATCTAGGGAGCATTGCCTCAACTACAAGAAGTCGGAACGGACGACGATGTCAAATTGAGCGAGAATCGGGAAGACGAGCGAGAATCACATTCATCAACCTGAATTCAATCTGGAAATCTTCGTCACACACCATCAACAAAAAAATTCGGTTGGATTTTCAATACTAACGTAGAGTCAGTCAGTTCTTCTATACGAATCAGAAACTTCGCGGGTCACAAAGAATATTTCCAACAGCCTGTTGCAGACCTTTATTAACAACTGTCTTCGCTGGCTCTATACTGAAGATCAGATGGCCGGGGCTGGAAAGAATCACCGACAAGGAATTATGGGAACAAACAAAACAAGAACCAATCGCCCAACAAATATGCAGGAGAAAGTGGAGATGGATTGGTCACTCACTGGGGAGACCACTGGGTGACATCGCGCGTCAAGCCCTCGAGTGGAACCCGAAAGGGAAGCGGCGTGTGGGACGTCCAAGGTTGACGTGGAGGAGATCGTGTGAAGAGGAGTTGAAAGAGTATGGACTAACATGGATGCAGGTGAAAAGTACAGCAGAAGACAGAAGCAAATCGAGACGTGCAATTGAAGCCCCATGTTCCTCTAGGAACCCAAGGGAGCAATAATAATAATTATTATTATGTAACGAAGGCTCTGTTAGACGTGAAACTTATAAGTTACTATGTAATTAGTATAGTGAATCGACCCTTTTATCGTTCATCTTTCTGTATTTTTTATGGTGTCACACTTTCTATCGTTTAATTATTACTCTGCTATTTTATTTTAGTTGGTATTACTATGATTACTACAATTTTGTACTTTATGCATATTTTTCTCCGTATTGCATACAGTAATTTGCTATGTAGCTGCTATAATAAAGTTTTATTATTATTATGTAGTGTTTATTTTTAATTTTTTGTCGTTTTTGGGTAAATTAGATGCAATATTCTACTGAATGCTGAAAACTCCTTGCTGTATCACTAGAAGTGTTTTTGGAATAAAGCGAAATTATTATTATTATTATCAAAGCGACCACGACAATCAACACTGTAGGCCGAATCGTCACGGCCAGCAATATCGGAGCACATTTCCACTGAGCAGTTTGGATCATATCCGCGAAGACCACAGACCATAATATGACCTGCATGAAGAAAGCAATACTGATAACAACAACTGAATAGTGACCATCTGATAAATGAAGACGTAGTAAGCAAATTAGGTACATTTCAAAGGAAATATTTCTTACTTTAGTTTATTGTTGTCACCCGCAGAAAAAAGCAAATTGTTTCACAACCAAGCAGCCTACGTGTTTCGCAGCGTGATTGGGACATTCTTCGGTGGTGTGCAAATGTTATGTCGAGTGTGGAAACAAAGTGAAGCATGGGATTCAGTAAGCTGTGAAATCTTGTCAAATCGTCAATAGCATATACATTCGTATATTGGAAGTATACTCATGAGTCACCCAGTCAGTGCACTCAGAACGAAATACTACTGAGCAGGGAATCGTTGTAAGTGAATAAAAAATATTCTAGATAAGTAAATACGGGATCTGTATGAAGTGAGGTAAGACCAGATGGAATATCTGGTTGTCATTTTTGCTGGATGAGCTTGTATGAGGTAATCCTCCATCAGTGAACGGAGGATGTGATTCATGGTAACTTGTGAAATGTGTCCACTGCAAATCATGTGTAGGGTATATTTTTTATGGAAAATGTTGAAAATAAAGTGTTACTGAGAAGCGACACGCACCACCTTGATGAAGTAACTCAAAAAATGCAACTTGTGCTGCGTCATGTATTCCCCTCTTTTATTTATACAATGTTTCGCTTCATATCAGCTTCCCTCAGCTTACCCACAATTCGTTACTTTACAAAGACACATTATCCGTGGTTGCCCAGTCTATTTGTCGATGCACTGTTCCTACTTAAATTTTGCTTCTACCCTGAAATTCCTCCCGAGGATATTAACATATTCATGGTTCGATCTCTTGAGCTAGGCAAAGACTCAAAACAATGAGGTGCAAATCCATCAATCAGTTTATCATTGGTTCTGGACTGAAAATGAACACAAAAACAATTTTAGACACCATGGAACTAGTTAGTGAATGATAGATGATAGTTGAAACCTATTCTCGTAATAAGATAGATACTGAGAAAAGAGAGATTTAGTTATACAAGCAAAGAAGGTATCACTACTAATAATTCACATCCGTTAATTGAAAAATTAACCACACGCCACATTATATATCACTTTGTCATAAGATATTCACGCAGAGGAGATCAAACTATTGATTATACTATTTGATGCGAATATACTAGACAGTAAACACATTAACGACCACGCTCACAATCGCCTCAATAATTTAAGTTAACATCAATGAATTTTGATCCTTGACTTATTTCGCATTTTTTTATAAATTCACCACTTCTGTTCATATAAAACCATATGGTTGAAAGGAAAATATTCTCAGTTGTGATAAAAAGTACTAACTGAATGTTTTAAATAACAACTTCATTGTACTCACGAAAAAAATCAATTTACTTTGAAGTGAAGCCTTTGGTACCAGTTATTGAACGCTTCAACGTGAATTGAAAAAACTACTGATAATCAGAGTATGAAGAATGAGATGCATATATATTTACACATTATTTTAGCTCATTTTTCAGCAGAATACTTCAATGTCTGGTGTGAGATGGCTTCTCTCTCACAAGTAACCAGTTCAGTGCACATCATGTGTCGTAATTAACATTTGCTTGTCATCATTCAGATTCGGAAAGGCTTTATTTTTCGTATAATATCGTGCCCTAAAGTTCTGTGATTCCATGCGTGTATGAGGTTTAGTCCTGGATATAAATCACGAGCATTCACTGTTATACCAGAGAAGTCTTGCTTCAAAATAGTTAAACACCTTTTCAAGTCTTCTTAATATTTTCTGGGTATTTATTGTCATAGTAGTCAATAAATAAATAAATTCGCACACTAGGGATTGTTGTTTTTGCATATATATACATATATATATGCATGTTTATATACCCATAGCTCTTTCAGGCTAAATTTACTGAATTTACTATATTTTTATAGTATTTCCTGTGTAATATTGACCCTTACATGTTTGTTTTATCGTACTTGAAATTCGCAAACAAGTATCACATTATATTAACGATATTGGTTATATCAGCGATTCATTCTGAAACGTAAGACAGAACGATTCATTGATTCCGTCTCAGCTCAACGTTCTGCTTGTTTGTAACCAACACCGACAACCAACACTGATTATCTGTGATTAACATCAGAATTTCTGCTTATACTTAGTGAATATTTCATCCCTCAGGTTGCTGAAAGTCAACAGGAAACTTGGATGGATTATGGTGCAGTCAGTTGCTGGTAATTCTTACTTTCCACATCGTTTCAGAAGAACACATCTACTAGTGTGGTGAGAGCAGGCTGCTAGCCGATTGGTTGGCACTAATCTACGTTAAGGTCTAGGTCACTAATATGGGCCGTGAGAAAATATGAACAAGCCTGAGTCAACAACCAATCACAGCAAAGTTAACGTGGCAAAATATGATTCGCAGAGAGAACTCTATTTGTCAAGGAATCCCGAAACAACCAATCAGAAGCCTGCGTTTGTCTACCTAAACAACCAATCAGATGACTGCGCTTGTCTATAATAATGTAGTTGAAAGATGTATAAATACGTGTTGATTTTCATAATAAAACGATCTGTTGCCTGGCCCTTGTCTTCTGTTGTTACATTTGGTGTCGCTGCCTACCGACAAATGAAAAGCCTATACCCTGCAGTTTTTGATGGAGACATATGGATCTTCGGGCAGGACTTCAAGGCTTCTGCGCAGTTGAGTGGCGTTCAAGATCTGTCAGCGATGGAGCTGCTACTTGAGACGCTGCTGGGAGGTCGGGCGAAAGCAGCATATGAAGGTGTGGGCCGAAGGATGGACGAATGTTCGACAGGGTCAGGCAAACAGTTTCCAAAGTGGGAAGGACCATATATGGTCACTTCGAGATGGGGTTACGCAGACACAGTCGCAATGGCGAACAATGAGAGGCGCGTGAACGTCAGCGAGCTCCAGAAATGGATACAGCGAGACAAGCCAACGATGACGCCTGCACCAAGTAGATCAAGCCGACTTCAGTCGCACGTATTTGACGGGGGGACGAGTGTGGTGAGAGCAGGCTGCTAGCCGATTGGTTGGCACTAATCTACGTTAAGGTCTAGGTCACTAATATGGGCCGTGAGAAAATATGAACAAGCCTGAGTCAACAACCAATCACAGCAAAGTTAACGTGGCAAAATATGATTCGCAGAGAGAACTCTATTTGTCAAGGAATCCCGAAACAACCAATCAGAAGCCTGCGTTTGTCTACCTAAACAACCAATCAGATGACTGCGCTTGTCTATAATAATGTAGTTGAAAGATGTATAAATACGTGTTGATTTTCATAATAAAACGATCTGTTGCCTGGCCCTTGTCTTCTGTTGTTACACTAGTATATGGTTGTGAATACGTTTATGTTAACTGTTGAAAATAATTTGAAGAATCAGGTCGTTGATTTGTAGAAATCACGAGAACAATTGGAAACTATTGGGATATAGACAGGTGTTCCATCTTAATATGGAGCTCGTGTGCAGTACAAACTCACTGGGGGCTCGAGTCCTTGATATTTGAGTCGGACACAAATGAAATCCCTGCAAACAAACCGTTGAGGGTTGATTTTTGCTTACTGTCACTACTTTGGTAAGGTTTGATGCCTCATCAAAATGCATAGTTCGTGATACCCTAGTAGACCCATCTATATGCTTGGAATGCTTTGTTGACTAAAATGATGTAGAAGAACTGCAGCTCGCATAAATGTCTGAGATGTGTTTATCTTCTCAACTTTAGAGAATTATATTTGTATTTGTTCAGATTCCATCTGCACTACATATTCACCTTGGAATTTAAAGTGAGGCGGTAATTCGAATTCTCGTATGGACGATATGTGCCACTCATGAACACTCTGATAGTATATGCTTATTTCAGAAGCTTTTTGTCCACCTACGAATTTGTACTAATATTCATAATTTCGCTGATCTCACATTTGAGTCTGAAGCTGTGTGACACAGGTTGACTAGTTTACTGTATTTGCTTTGACATGCCTGTTGAGTCAAAACTCATCCGAGTATTAGGCTTGTGACAATAAAACACTACCACTAGAATTTGATAACAAGAACATAAACACAAAGACTGAAGGTGGTATGTAAAAGCATTCTACTCAAGAAATATATAAAGCCTCACTTTTCTAGTTAGCTTCGGCGGACAAATAGTTAATAAGTTGATTCGGAAATGATTTGTTAGTCTACTGACTAATCGATTCTCATGAAAGCCGAATAAATTAGGCTTTCTCAGCAAGGAGATCTTAAGTAACGCTTCAGACCAACAAGCTGATAACTAGCGCATTATTTATGGAACTTATGAGTAAATGTTTAACTAAGACTAGTTTGAGAGCCGCTTCAGATATTACGAAATATCTCCTTCCTCTACAGTAAAAGAATCAGATGAATAAAGATTTAATCTTGTAACGAATGGTAAGTGTGAAGCAATGCAGTTGTGATGGAACATTTCAGTTCAGTCAGCATCCCTTTTACTCAATGTTATAAAAACTGCATCCAAACTACATCCAATTAACAATTCTGTTTCTCCATGTTTTTCTTTTGAAAAGAAGTATGATATACAGTCTGATACCATAACAGAATGGAATGTTCATACATGAATAACTCTGTTTCAACTTTTAGAATTCATTAAAGCTGTTTTCAACTTGTATTTTAGGGCATTGATGGTACTCCTTTGTTTGTTACTGTTCTTCAAATTCAGAAATAATTTGCCAGTTGCATTGTTTCTGATGACAATAATAGTAAGTTTACAATATAATGAAGATCATGAGTTGACTTCATGCATTCATGATCATTTCGGTTTCATTGGGTTGCTTTATCGAAAATACACAAATGGATTGGCGATGCAATAAGATAACATAATAACATAACTGAAACATTTCATATTTTTGCAGACAAACTGAATTATTAAAAGATGGAATATTTAAGGCATAAGACCACATATAATGAGTATGAAAGTGAGCTAGAAATAAAAGAGGTATGAGAAAAGTATTAAGAACGATGAACCTCGGTTCTAAAACTGGGTAACTAATACAGGTGGAAAATAAAATGAAATTATCTTTTAATAGGTGAAACAGGTTTATTCATTGAAGTTTCTGTAGCGATGTGGTTATTTTACAGGGTTGAGTTGCTAGCACCACGCCCCAACCCTCCCTCCTTACCCGGGCTTGGGACCGGCTAGAAAACTAGCAAGCTAGTAGTCTAGGCGAGAGACATAGGACTCTGCAAGAACTGGCGAGGAATCATGCTCCTGTCGACGCCAAGTCAAATCCTGAGTCCCATCATCCTGGAGAGATTAAAGGACGCACTCGATACAGAACTCCGACCATAACAAGAGGGATTCAGAAAAAGCAAATCATGTACTGACCAAAGTGCAACTCTACGCATCATCATCGAACAAAGCATGGAATGGCAATCTAAACTCTACCTCAATTTCAAAGACTTTGAGAAGGCCTTCGACAGCGTTGACCGTGAAGTAATTTGGAAATTACTGGAGTACTATGGCGTACCCCAAATATTCATCAAACTTATTCAACAGCTTCATTATAAATTATTTAAATTAATCTCAGCTTGTTAAGAAAATCAAAACAAGATTTTTCTGAACGAACGAGATAACCAATATAAAATAGATTTTGATTGGAAATGGTTATCCTGAAAAGCTACTAGATAATATCATCAATAGAAAGGAGCATAAAGAAAAACAAAAAGTTGAAAAATCCTGGCTATCGACGATGGGCATTCCATAACGAAAAGACACAGTTGAACAACTTCAAAGACTATTTGCTGCATATAATATTAAAGTCCATGTCAATCCTTCTAATTCTCTAGAGGAAGCTTTAGCGCATGTCAAAGATATAGTTCCCAAAATGTCACAAAATAATTGTGTCTACAAGATAAAGTGTTCAGAATGTGAGGCATGCTATATAGGAGAGAGCAGTAGGCAGGTGAAAGTCAGAGTGAATGAACATAGACTTTGCACGAAACGTCCACCCAGAAATGAAGTAGAATTAAAAAGTCTAGAAAAAAGATCGGCTATAGCGATACATGCAATAGACAGTGGACATAAGATTGATTTTGACAATGTCGAAATTCTTGGAAGAGGATTTCATTCACATAAAGAAAGATTGACTTCGGAAGCCTTGCACATTTTAACCACATCAAATGCAGTGAATAGGAAAGAAGGTATAGTCTTATCACCTATATGGCAAACTCTTATGAAGCAAGACAAATGAAAAAAAAAAAACTCTATGAGCCTCCATGACCTTTTGAAACATTTGGTATCATGTTTATCGCATATGAATTCGCCTATTTTCCATATGACGTATAACATACATACACACACACTCATACAAAACTAATCTTTACAAATCAACTACAGAAGAGTAAACACAACAACAATTTGACATTAGTCATTACAAATATATGTGAGGACAGCTTACATATTTCTATTGGTAAAAAATGTCCATAGACAAATGACCTTCAAATAAACTGACTTGATTTTATGTAAACATTTTTGACTATATATTATGATGATTAATTATAATCCGAATAAATCTGCTGAAGAAGCTGCGGCTTACACAGCGAAACGTTCAGAAAAATCTTGTTTTGATTTTCTTAACACGCTGGGATTAATTTAAATCATTTATAATGAATCAATCTGACTCGGCGCTCAAATTATTCCAGGAAATTCGTAACACCTACGGTCTGGAAACCTATAATCTTATTCAACAGCTATACGACAACGGCACATGTCAAGTCATCCACATCGGAAGACTCACCAAGGCGTTTGGAATACACACAGGAGTCAGACAAGGTTTATTATTATCACCAATGATATTCCTAATTGTGGTGGAGTGGATTATGCGTCAGACAGTGAGTGGGAAACGAGAAGACAGGGATATCCTGGACCGACCGACGTGAAGAACCTAGAAGACCTGGATTTCGCGCGTGGATGATTTATGTTTGATGTCACACACAATCGAAGACTTACAAGCGGAAACCGACAAACTGGTCGAAGAAGCAGCAAAGACAGGACTCCAGGTGAACATAGACAAGACGGAGGTGATGAATATAACCAACCAACAACAACAGCAGCAACATCTAGCGTCAATCACCATCAACGAGAGGGATTTGAAAGAGGTGACTTCATTCACTTCACTTATCTAGGGAGCATTGTCTCAACTACAAGAAGTCGGAACGGACGACGATGTCAAATTGAGCGAGAATCGGGAAGACGAGCGAGAATCACATTCATCAACCTGAAATCAATCTGGAAATTATCGTCACTCAGCATCAACAACAAAATTCGGTCGGATTTTCAATACTAACGTAAAGTCAGTCAGTTCTTCTATACGGATCAGAAACTTCGCGGGTCACAAAGAATATTTCCAAAACCCTGTTACAGACCTTCATCCAACCACAACTGTCTTCACTCTATACTGAAGATCAGATGGCCGGGCCGGAAAGAATCACCAACAAGGAATTATGGGAACAAACAAAGCAAGAACCAATCGCCCAACAAATATGCAGGAGAAAGTGGAGATTGATCGGACACTTGCTCGCTGAGGAGACCGCTGGGTGACATCGCGCGTCAAGCCCTCGAGTGGAACCCGAAAGGGAAGCAGCGTGTGGGACGTCCAAGGTTGACGTGGAGGAGATCGTGTGAAGAGGAGTTGAAAGAGTATGGACTAACATGGATGCAGGTGAAAAGTACAGCAGAAGACAGAAGCAAATCGAGACTTGCAATTGAAGCCCTATGCTCCACTAGGAACCCAAGGGAGCAATGATAATAATAGGTGAAACAGGTTTAAGACATTTTGATTAAGGCTTCAGTTAATTCAAGCATATAACCAAACATTTTTAACGGTTGGCTTCAAAAAGATTGCTATAAACAAATCTATGACGCCTCTCTATGATGTGCTTAGAGATAGTTTAAGTTGGACATATATTTCCAGTGTCAAGGGAATTCGTTGAATTTATTTGTTCTTTCAGCTATTTAGAAATATGTTCTGCTGCCCTGAACTTAGAGGTAGATGAGTACCGCTTATGTAGGCGCGGCCGTGGATGCATGTTTACCGGTAAAGGAACAATAACCACTGATGGTGTCGAATTCATTATTTTGTATCTTCCAGGTAGCTCTTGGTTTCGCCAATTTACTAAAATAAAATTGTGATCAAAATGTTCTGCTTCATCGTGGCATGCGGTTCTCAG